GGGGGGGGGGGAGCACAGGTATCAGAAAGTCCAATGAGAACTGTCTTCAGCAAAAATAAATAAATAAGAAAAAAAGGAAACACATTAACCTTAGGAAGTAAGAGATTTAACATCTATTTATCAATATTTCATGAGCAGCTCCATCCAGAACTCGAAGGAAGTGAGCAGGACCCATTTACCACTGCCCTTTTATTACTGTGTTTGGTTAGTATTAGAAAGTTCCAGCAGAACGATCTATCCAGGCAAGAAAATGAATGGCAGTTACCTAGGCTTCTGTCCAGATTTACCTCCAATAAGAAAGAGAGGAAGTCAGCAAACACAGTTGGATAAACCAGGTTCCCAGTTCCTAACAAGTTGACCCAATAAATACCATGAATGAAGGTCATCTCAGTGTAGCTATAATGTTTTCCAATGCATCCAAGAGACCACTAATTTTGCCATGTCATAAAACAAGAAAATTAAGAGTTTTTTTCTTCTGACTTCTTCAATATATAATATTGTCTCATGGATCCAATATCTGAGTACTGGGTAACATTTTTCAAAACGTACCTCTAAGAATGGCCCAGACTTTCTCAATATTGATTATTTTACAACAAATCCTCCAAAATGCAAGACACATTTCCCCATCTTAATAACCAGACTGTCAAACAACCCAACCTGACATTGGTCTTCTCCATCAACCACAGAGATGTCCTCAGGGGTTGCTGGGATCTATCACACTTGATGCCCATACATCGAGTGGTGTCAGGCCATGTAATTCCTTTCTTGGGTGCTGAGCAGTCATGTACTAACACGACCTAACTTGGACTGGGGCGTCAGAAAGTCCCACTAGTCCACACATCCATGGGTGTAAAGGACACCCAGAACACTGGTAATCGTCGACGTTAATGTATTTGCAGATTTGCAAATGTAAATCTAGTATGCCATATATTTAGATCAAGAGCCAGCGATCACAGCTAATTTTAATTGTCAACTTGACTGGACTAAGGAACTGGTAAAGCACAATTTCTAGGTGTGTCTGTGAGGGAGGTTGGCATTGGTGGACTGAGTGGGAAGCTCTGTCCACAAAGTGGGTAGGTAATATTCAGTCAGCTGGTAGGGAGGGGCATAAAACAGAAAAGACAGAGAAAAAAAGGATTTCCACTCTGTCTCCCAGAGCTGGACCACACCCTTCCTCTCCTGCCCGTGGACATCAGAACTATAGGTTCTCCAGCTTTTGGATTCCTGGATTTATACCAACAGCCCCCTAGTTTCTCCGGCCTTCAGCCTTGGAGCCTTGGACTGAGACTTACACCACTGGTTTCTCTGGTTCAATTAATGTGAGCCTATTTCCCTAGAAAAATCCATAAATCCATACATACATGTATATTATACACACACACACACACACACACACACACACACACACACCCTATTGCTTCTAACTCTCTGAAGAACCCTGACACAAAGACTTTCTAAGTAAGAATGACAGTTGTCTTTCATCCTAAATGTTCTCATTGCATGTAACTTACTCAATTTCACCAAGGTAGAAGCAGCTAGGTCCTAAAGGCCGGATTTAAAAACAAAACCAAAAACTTGTGCCTCTAAAATGTGTATGCACCAATAAGAAGTTGACACACAAAGCTGTCATCAAAGGAAAGAACTTTCTGGAAGGCATAACTGAGCTCCAGAGAGAAACAGGATGGGAAGTTCCTCCCAGAGAGTATCACAGGTTTTAATAAAGGAGTCCTCCCACCTGGAGGACAGAGGGCTCCTGGAGGGCGGGCCATCACGGACAGGGGCCAGTGGGAGCTGGGCCTCTCCCTGTCTTCTGAACGAGAGCTCCTCCACCGTGGTATGGGGCAGAAACGTCTCAAACTTGTTTTCTACAGAACTGCAAGAGGAATAGAAGCCAGAGATTACAGAATGTGTGTAAGAACCACCCAAAGAAGCTGAGAGTGGACGGAAGCCAAATGGGCAAAAAAATAGAAGAAGCACAAAGATCCATGAAAGGGCCCGTCCCGGGCAAACCTCAGAGAGCGCCAGCACGTGCCCACGTACGAAGGTGAGGCTCGCAACCTGAACTTTAAAAGAGATGTTGTTGGTTGCACCACGTGTAGAATAGAGGGTGAAGAGGGAGAGCAGAAACCACCCTGAAACTGACCTGGTTCAGAAGCAGCGGGTCTCTACAGAGGAAAACAGGGAGGGGCCACACTCGTGAGAGGCACTCTGTCTCAGAAATGAGCAGTGGAGACGACGAAGAAAGCTTGGGAAGTGCTATCTGGAGGCCCCGCCTCACCTGACCTCCTCACCCAGCCTCCAAAACATTGGACAAATCCCTGGTCCAGGATTGACCAGTTTGGGGGAGTTAAGTATTTTAAGAAGAAGCTGGGCCAGCATAAATATAAAGGATTTATAAGGAAAAATGTGAAAAGAGTAACAAAACTCTCCAGTGGATTAAAGACACCAGAAAAAATGTTGCCCAAACTAGAAAAAAATGGTAGCCTTCACGGAGAAACTATGGAGCAGAATGCAAGAAATCAGGGAGGGAGGGTGAGAGGACAAGTGAAGATTGAATTCAGGAACAAATTAAGAAGGGAAATATAACCCCTGATGCTCCCAGACCATATGGCAGAGTAGGCATTATGAACACACATATGAACACACACACACACACACACACACACACACACAGGGTAGTAGTAAAAAAAAAAAAAAAACAATACCACATCTTCAGAATTACAAATGAAGTAGAAGAAAAATGATAGACACAGAAGTCAGACATGAAAGACGTGTGGTCGGAGTCCCTGAAGAATAAAACCAAAAGCACACAGCAGAGAAATTGTTTAAAAGTGACCATCAAGAAGACTTTCTTGAAATAAAAGGGACAAAACCCAGTAGTGTTATATAAGGAAATAATATTTTAAGAAGCTCAATTTAAAATATCAAGATCAAAATAAAAGAGCAAGCCGGGCACAGTGGCACATGCCTGTAATCCCAGTGACTCGGGAGGCTGAGGCAGGAGGATCAAAAGCTCAAAGCCAGCCTCGCCGACTCAGCGAGAACCCGTCTCAAAATTCAAAAGAAAAATAAGAAGATGAAAGGAGAAAAGTAGGGCAGGCCAGCCTCAGGTTATCCCACGGCAACACTAACATCAAAAGACAGCACAGGCACACCCACAAGACCAGTGTAAATGAAAAGGTGAGTCAGCCAGTCATCTCCCCCAGCTGTCTGTGAAGTGTAAGCCTGCCACCCTAAGCACTGCAAGATCCCAGGGAATACTGCACCCTGAGCCATTCATGAGGCAGCTACTTAGAATAACTGCCAGCCAAGCAAGTGATGCTGAACAGAGCGAGGGCCGCTGGGCTAGAGAGGAACACTGACATCGTTAAACAAGAAGTCAGGGAAGGAGTGGGAGATGACAAGAGAAGATTGAATGTGACCTAAGAAACTCAGGAACAAATTAGGAAGGGAAATATAACCCCTGATGCTCCCAGAAAGAAAAATAAATTTAGTAGGTGCACGTGACAGAGTAGGCATTATAAACACACACACACACACACACACACAGGAACAGAAAGGGTAGTAGTGAAAATATAAAACTTCATCTAAAGCTAATGGGAGCATCAGGGTAACAAAACAGAGTGTAAACTGTTGTATGTTGAATGACATGGCAGTTGGTTCAGGTGGAAAAGGGACTTGAGATGCTGAGTAAGTTCCCTTAACTGCATAATATGGAAGAGCTGAGAGCCGAGAGTTATCCCTTAAAGAGGCAAATCACATAATGGAAGCATAAGCATATCTAATCATTGGATAGCAAACATTTAATAGGTGGTGTTGATTAACATCATGTCATGGGAAAGGAGTGGAGGAAAAGGTGCCGTCTCCTATAACAGGGATCTGACCTATCCTAGCTAATGAATCGAACACTGTGATTACTGTACACTGTTATAAAGCTAGCTCCTAAGACAAAAGTACAAAACTCCTCAAGTGTCAAAAACACATTACACTCACTCATACACACAAATAAAATAAGACAAAAATTGGTGCAGGAAAGAAGTAATCATAGCCAGGTGTGGTGGTGCACACCTGTAATCCAAGCAACTCCAGAGACTGAGACAAAAGAGGATCACAAGTTCAAGGCCAGTCCTGGCAACTCAAATTTAAAAAAAGAAAAAGGTGGGGGATACAGCTCAGCAGTAGTGTACCCCTGATTTCAATTCCCGGTACTGAAAATAAAAAGAAGGACGAGGAAGAGAAGGAGGAGGAGGGATCATAGTTCACCACATGACTAGTTGCAAAAAGCATTTACCTAGTCAACCCAAGGCAAAGGTTCAACTCTAATCTAATCAAACTGTATCAGGAAGACAGGAAGAAAGCCCTTCTGCAGCCATGTGGAAAGGAAGAAAGTGAACTAACTCCTTCTCCTCCTCTTCCACGATGGGAAGTCCAGAAATAACTGCTAAGCCCCAAATTCCAGAGGTCTCAATACAAATGCAGTATTTAAATTCAACGAGATGAACACTGACATCATCAAAAAGACATGAAAGTAGTTGTCTTTTGGAAGGTGAAAAAAAAATGGGACAGGAACTGGGAGTGTTGTTTTTCAAAACAAACTCTGTAGAGCATTTTGGTTCTACCATATAGAACTTTAGTAAGAAGTATAATCATTAAAAAGAAATTTGAGCTCATCGGAGCAGACTGAGTTCAACTAACTCATATTTTCCACACTAGCCTTTTCCTTGGGTGCTTTCAAACTGAAACTCCCTAGCCTTTCATTCTGAAAGGAGATTCTTATTCCACTTTGCTTTTTATTGAAAGCCACCACAGTGACTCTTCATTTGGTAGTGTGTCATGAGCCTCTTTTCAACCTTGAACTACTTGTACCCTGTACCTGTACTCAGGACAGAATGCTGACCAGCCATCACTAGGGACAGCCCACAGAGAGAAGGACAGTAGCAAATGAACGGATACCTATGGTGGTGATGACGGTTCCAGCAAAGAAAAAGGCACTTCCCAGGTCCCAGTGACTGTTGCTGTTGGAGGAGTTTCCTATGGGACTGACTCCCGCGTTGTCAGCATCAAGGGCGTGCTGCAAAGGAAGGGGAAAAGCATGAGACTCAGTTGAAAATGTTTTTTTTGTTGTTGTTTTTAATCTTCCAATAAATTGCTCCCCTGCTTAAGAATCCGCAGTGATGTAGCGATATGGGTTAAGTGAATGAGGGTACCGCGTCATAAAGCAAAATATCATGCATCCGTTTGTGAAAATTAGAAAATGAGTTTTAAATGGAGGGGGAAACTAGGATATAGAGCATGGTGCCATTTATATTAAATGTTCAGACACACAACAGGCTGAGTTATGCAAAACATCTACATATTGTCGTGCATACACATAGAATGCTCTAGAATGTTCACTCTGGTCATTTCTGAAAGGCAGGATTTCAATCACACCTCTCTCTCTCTCTCTCTCTCTCTCTCTCCCTTCCCTCTGTCCCCTTTTCCTGTCTTGTTAGAATGTTTCATACTGAATTAGTTTCAATAGCACAGGAGTTAAGTACTTAGGCTCTCAGGTCAGGTCATACTAACTTTGCAACCTTGAGCAAGTGAATTCAACCACTCTAAGTCTGTTAAACCAGGGAGGAGATCTTCCTCCAAAAATTGTTGAGAGGATTAAGTGAGATAGATGGCCCATGTAATCAATAATCTTAGCCCAATGTCTGTTTGTTAAGGTTTAACAAAGACAGTTGCGCTGTTTAATGACAGGAACAGTTCTGAGAAATACATTGTTAGGTGATTTTGTCATTGCATGAACATCGTAGAGTGTACTTACATAAGCTGAAATTGTTACAGTGTCACTGGGTTTTGTAAGCCAATGGGACCACCATCATCTATGTGGCCCATGGTTGACTGAAACATGCGGAGCATGGCTATAGTATGTACATTTCCCCTCTCTCTCTCTCTCTCTCTCTCTCTCTCACACACACACACACACACACACACACACACACACAAACACAAACACACACACATACACGCTTTGTTCTTTTCTAAAATAAATTCCAATGTTAGCTACTGGATTTGGAATTCCATATCTTAAAAATGTCACTAAGTTGGTCCTAATGATGGCCCATTCTCATCTCTCACCATATTAAGTCTCCACCCCAGTCAGGAAACCTCATGACATGTTCCCTTGTTCCTCTGTTCCTTCACTTATGCAAACTCTGCCCATTTTTTCAGGGTCTAACGCAGGTCCCACTGCTGAGAAAGATTACAGGCTCACAACTGCCCCCTTCCCTGGGCTAACGTCTCTATACCAATGACATATACACCTAAAAGCCCTCCTCCAGATCCAGCAGGAGCAGTATAAGATGAAAAACTCCTCTCCAGCCCTTCTGGAGCTGGCCCTGCCCCGCCCCTTCAGGCCAGCAGGGAGGAAGGAAGTGCTGTCATTCCTAGTTCAAGTCCATGCTATCTGCATGGGTTAGCTTGTGTGAGAGGGGCAGGTAGAGAGGAGGTGGCAGACATATAAGCTACTTTCTAGAACAACAATAGAGGCTCAGAGCCCAGGGCAAAGCTGGGATAACCCTACGCAGAGAGGGCAAGATACAAATATTGAAATGTGGTTATCAGCAATATCCACTAAGCTTTGTTTAAACAGGCACACACACGGTGGCTGTCACAAACCAGATTACAACTGAAAAATCCATACCATTACCTTTCGCCTTCAATAATGATATTGAATGAGCCATTTCACACTCTCCAGACCAGGGAAAAGCAACCTTTTCTATAAAGGGCCAGAGGGCAGATATTTTAGCTTTGGAAAGCTATATATAATCTCTGTCATGTATTTTTCTTTTTTCATCACCCTTTAAATATTCAAAAATCATTCTTTAGCAAAGCAAGCTACAGGTACAAAAACAAGTGACAGGCTAGATTTGGCAGTCAATCAACTGGATGACGGGTGGGGGGGGGAATCTCTTGTATAAGCCTTTGGACTATTCTTTCTTGCCCCTAAGAACATGAAATATTATGAATAATGTAGCCACCACTGTTTCTAACACACGCCCTGGCACCCCGGAATTTAAAATCCAAAAGAAGTATACAAACTGCCGATAGTTTAAATCAGCCTAATTGACAAGAATATCAATCAGGGCCACTTACTCATTCAGACCTATATTCTACTCAACTTTTGAGGAGAAGCATATGGTGAGTCCCTTCCACTGGTAAGATATCCATTCTTCACGGTGCTATGTGAGGGCCATCAGACCAAGCCACAAAGCCTCAGCCTGGTGTTCATCTCCTCATTATCCACACAGCTCCCAATGGGCCCACTTCAAAACAATACCTCAGGGACAGTTACAGGCCTCATCAGTCACCCCGGTTGTCTCAAATCACACATCGAAACCCAATATTTCCATCACCCATAAGGCTGCAAGTGTCACAGTGCTGAGAATCACACATCAACACCACAAGCAGACCCAGTCCAGCACATTAAAAATACAGACTTGCACAAAAGGCAAACGAGATGATTATTTTTCATCAAAAATCTAAAGATGTCTTTTCAGAGTTTTGTTTTTCTTGAGTTATGCAATTTATAAATATTTAATGTTTGCATAGGTAACCCTTAAGGAAAGTGTTTCTCCCTTAAAAGGAAAAGGAAACTAACATTTTTAAGTGCCTGCATTTAGCCAGGTGCGTTAGAGACATCATTCCATCTCATTCTTTTCCAAAACTTGCAAGACAGTAGTATAATTCTCACTTTAGAAAGAAGAAACAGGCACAGAAAAGTTAGTAAAGCAGCCATGATTCAAATCCCATTAGCTCAAAGCAGGGAGTTTTTGCCTTTTCTTCTACATATGGTACCCAGAACACACTCTACTTCTCCCACTTCCATCCTCACCTCCAACTGGAGAAGAAGGAGGAAGGTGGCCATTGTCTGAGAGTTTAGGTCAAAAGGATTTTCAAAGCATCATTTCTGATTAGACTACCCTCTTGAAGCTGCAAGTGGAGATCCCAGGCTTCACTGGGCTGTTGGAACTGGGTGTTAGAAAACTTTAATGCTCTGCATTAAAAACAAGATTTTTTAAAAAAATAAATACAGTAAAATGGGGAAAGGCTGATTTCATACTCTGAAAGAGAGGGGGCAAAGAAAATAGAAAGAAAAGCCTGAAAAAGGAGGAAGAAATGGGTATCAATTGACAAGAGGGAGGTTCAAGTTCAGGAGCAGCAATTTGGAAAATTGGGAAGAACAGCTGTGTCTAGTAACCAATTTGAACTTGCTTCATATCTGCGATATAAATTCCTCTCTTCCCTCCCAAATCTTCAGTAAAGTGGGCAACACACCCAAATGTCTAGAGGAAGCAGCTTTTTGGAAGTATATATAAGGGTTGCTATGGGCACGGTGGAATCACTGAAGATCTGAAGTAATTCACTGGGAGAAAAAAATATATAACTAGAAGCAAGGAAGACAAAAATAAGCTCTCCTAAAACTCCCCAAACTTGTAATAAGGCTTTGAATAAACCCCAACTCCAGAAGTCTAGTTCTATCTAAGATTAAAATGAATTGGTATAACTGGATATCATTTGAATTAGGAGCATTGTTTTTTTTAAATTTTAACAAATATATAAAAGTTATGCATATTTATGTGAAGTACTATGTGAGATTTTGATAGATGTAATAAATTGTGCAATGTTCAAATTAAACTATCTCCTCAAACAATGATCATTTCTTTATAATAAAAACATTAAAAATTCTAGCATTTAAATATATGTGCCTGTATAGTAGGGGAATCATTTCTAACTTCATAAGTATAATTCTGAAAGAGTTCATAGTTCTAACTTCTATGAATTTTATAAAGTATTTTCCAATGATCTGAATATTTGAGCTCAACTAAAACATTTTAAAACTAAATGCATTTTGTTTTAATCTCTCTGTTTGGGCTGTAAAGTGAAAATAAGCCAGCTCATTAGGAACATCTGAGCATCCATATAATGAAATGACTCAACCGAGTTGTGTATGGTGAGCTCAAGGGAGGTTATAAGGTAGAGTTTCAACCAACATCAACATCAATTCAGGTCACGATCTCAGGTCCAATGAGTATCAGCTGTTCACCAACAAGTTCAACCACTATCAAGTCCAGAGAGGTCTCATGAGCACCAAGATAGATAGATGAATGGATGGATGGCTGGGTAGATAGCTGGCTATAGGGAAGAAAGCATTACTTTACATTTTAATGCTATTCCTTCTTGAATTTCTTTTCTAGTTGAAATTTCCAGCACCACCCAGTGGCCTAGCATTGAGGAGTGAATAGAATGTTTAAGGTAATAACAAATGAATGAACAAATTAAAGTAATAAATATAAGTAAATATCTTCCCAGGGGTGTGAGAAGTAAACTTTGTACCTTTCAGTAAATATCAGACAAATGCAAAAGTAACCCCCCAAATGTATGTGTGTGTGTGTGTGTGTGACTTTTTTTTTTTTAACAAGTGGAGAACTGACTTGGAGAAGGGCAAGATCGAAAAGAATCTGTATCTCTCTCCTCTCTGCTTCCTCCCTCCTCCCCAATACCCTGCATTAAGACCACCTTGAAAGTATAAAGGAGATATTGCAACCTCTCCCAGAGTCAGCCGGGTCTGAGGCTGACGGGAAGGGAGGGAGGAGGGGGAAGTGACTCTCCTCCTCGCGGGACCCCTCCCAGGTTCCTCCCACAAGGCAATGCTGGCTGCATAAATCACTGCTCTAGACAGCACAAGACACCGTCGTGCGTGTTCACACTGCCCTGGGATAAACGATGGCCCACATGGGACCACTAACTGTCTGGGGCTTTTCTCCTATGATCTGTGTACTCAGTGAGATCATCCATTTCTCGGTGTCCTTATGGGGCACCAGAAAGAAAGACAAACAAAAGTGAAGCGACAATCACTCAGTTTTTCTCAGATTAGCTGAGGAATACAAGGGACCCGTGCCACATGCATGGGCATCCAGGGCCAGGGGAACCGCTGGATTTGCTGTCCAAACCAGGTCACTTGCAAACTGAAAGGTAGGTCACTATCACATCTCAAGTGTAACCCAGGATGCATTTTTGCTAATA